TAGCTTGTACTAAAATGTCAACTTTTTCCCTCCACCCTCCTGCTGATAAGGATCCTCGCTGGCTGTGTGAAAAAAAGTGTCTGCACGGTGCTCTATCATCCCCACAGTACTCTCCAAAGGAGTTGCTCGAGTTGTGGAAGAACAAGGAAGAGTGTGGAAACCCCTGCCATTGTCAAAAATGAGATTGCCAGTGAATTCTCAGCAAGTCACAGCAAATGTCAAAGATCTTTTTGGCTCGGGTAATCTTGATTGTGAGTCAGCACACCATGCTTTACTTCACTTGTCCATCTACAGTCCGTCCTTTATCAAAAGATGAGGAATCAATCTTGATAAACCGGATAACAGTTGAACTGAAACTGTGTTCATAAAGGAGCCATCTATCTTATCTTCCAACTCCACTAGCCCCATGGGCTTTTAACTGTTACTGAGTTTGCACCATTTTCAGGTTGGTTCTGAACTGGCACTGTTCCATCAGTGTCATTGGCTGTACACAGCCTTCCTGAGTGTTTCAACATAAGACGTTAACAGAAGATCAATCAAACAAAAGGTAGAAAAACCTACATATTTTTGTAAGTGAGGGAAAATGTTTTCCAAATCATTTTCTATCCTCCCCACCACATTAATTAGAATCAAGAAAAGGAACAAACAGTATGAGCAGAAAATAAACGCTGCTTCAAGAGGGAAGGAGTGGAAAATGTTTTAAGCAATAAATGTAGTGAACTGGATAAAGTAGAAAACAGAAAGAAGTTAATGGGTGTACACCCGCATTGACGGTAATCCCCAGGGGCCTTAGTGTTTTTGTATTGTGGTTACCAATGACATAAATGAAAAGAGACTCAGATATTCAAGTATGCTGATAGCACTAAATTAGGTGGCAGAGCTGGGTAGTATAGAATGCACCCCGTTTGTAACTTTATTTGGAAAAACTGGCAGATGGGAGCTCATGGTGGGTAAGTGATGAAAAAGGCAAATGGATGGTCAAGGTCATGGGTTTGGAAGGTGCTGCAAAGGAGGTTTGAATTCCTGCAATGCAACTTGTAGACTTTACCACTACTGCCACTGTGGTGAAGTGAGTGAATACTGGTGGTGGATGTGGTGGCAATCAAATGCCTCCTTAATACTGGATTGTGTCAAGCTTAAGTATTGTTGGAGCTGCAATCATCAATGTAAGTAGGGAATATTCCATCATACTTCCAATATGTGTCTTCTAGATGGTGGGCAGGTAGTGGGGAATCAAGATATGAATTAATCACCACAAAATTCTCAGCTTCTGACCTGTTATAGCCACAGTATTTATGGAGCTGGTCCAGTTCAGTTTTTGGTCAAACTTGATTGATTGAATTTTTTGAGAACAGAGTGGTAGATGTTGTCTACATAGACTTTTGAAGGCCTTTACTAATTAGTCTACCTTATGGAATGTTGTCAAAGTCAGATCACATGGGATTCAGGGAGAGTTTGCCAATTGAATACAAAATTGGCTTGCCGGTAGGAGACAGAGGGTGGTGGAAGGTTGTTTTTCGGACTGGAGGCCTGTGACCAGCGGTGTTCCACAGGGATCAGTGCTGGGTCCACTATTGTTTGTCATTTATATAAACAATTCAGATGAGAATTTAGGAGGCATGGTTAGTAAGTTTGTAGATGACACCAAAACTGATGTTATAGTCAGCCGTGAAGGTTTTCTAAGGGTACGAAGGGGTCTTGATCAATTGGGCCTATTGGCTGAGGAGTGGCAGATGGAGTTTAATTTGGATAAATATGAGGTATTGCATTTTGGTAAAACAAACAAGGACAGGACTTACACAGTTAATGGTAGGGCACTGGGTAGTGGTCCACAACAGATAGACCTAGGGGTTCAGGTACATAGTTCTTTGAAAGTTGTATCACAGGTAGACAGGGTGGTTAAGAAAGCATTTAACATGTTTGCCTTCAATGTTCAGACCTTTGAGTATTGGAGTTGAAACATCATGTTATGGTCATATAGGATGTTGGTGAGGCCACCTTTGGAGTACTGTATACAGTTCTGGTTGCCCTGCTACAGGAAGGATATTATTAAATTGGAGAGTGTTCAGAAAAGATTTAGATGTTGCCCCGACTGCAGGGTTTGAATTATAAGGATTGGCTGCGGCTTTTTTCACCAACGTGTAGGAGGTTGGGGAGTGACCTTAAAGAGGTTTATAAAATCATGAGAGGCATTGATTAGGCGAATAGCAAAGGTCTTTCCCCTCGGGTGCCCCCTTGGTGGTATATTTTTAAGGTGAGGGAAGAAAGATTTAAAAGGACATGACTTTTTTTTAAAACAGAGAATGGTTCATATGTGGAATGATCTGGCGGAGGAAGTGGTAGATGCAGGTACAGTTACAACATTTAAAAGACATTTGATTAGGTACATGGATAGGAAAGGTTTAGAGGGATATGGACCAATGCAGTCAAGTGGGACAAGTGAGAGTTGGACCAAAGGGTCTGTTTCTGTGCTGTATGACTCTATGGGTTTGAGGATATCCAATTCAAGTAGCTAATTAGTGAGCCAGGCACCATGTTGAGAGGCAATTGAGATTGGGACAGCTAACCCTTGCTGAAAGGGTGAAGGGACTCTGGATGTTTATGTAGTACATAGGATGGTTCAGAAGTGATCTTATTGAAAGATAGTAAAGTTAAATATTAGCACTAGCCAATAGGAGGAAAAATTTAAGCTAAGACAAAAAGTGCCTACAAAATTAAAATTAACGTTTACCACTTTCATGCTGTGAGAGTGGCAATACATAATAACGTTCCCAGCTATGAGGGGAAGAGCAAGATGCTGGTGGCAGAAGCTGTTGTAAACATTAAGTTTGTTGGGAAGTGGGTCAAAGGCTGTATAGTCCATCAAGACGAAGATCAACCACTTAACATGCAATAGGACAGCTTCATAATTATGTATTTTGCCTTTGTCTGATGTAAATTGGGCACTTAGTAAAACCAGTCCTCAATGCAATGCCACCATATTACAGTTCCTGAACAGTAACACTAAATAAAGGAATGAAAACATGACAGCAGCAAAAACCTTTTATTATATTTGCATAGGTTCCTCATACAAATATGTACCAATGTCAAATGTAATCTGAACTCTTGTAATCCACAACTTTTTACATAAAACACCTTTAAAGGTGTAGGAGACTCTACTTTCCAGACAGAAAGCTTTAAATGAGAGTAATATTCTACACATTCTGAGATGCTATGAACCCTGGAGGTGAAATACTCAAACTGGTGGAATCTGCAAAGAGGAAGTTAATGTTTCTGATCCAACTGACCTACCTTGGAGTTTAGGCCACACATGCTTAGTTTATAAGGTCTGAGGCAACAGGCATGCTACAAAAAGGGACAGGGGTAGGAAGATCAGTTTTTAACTGTCACTTTTACTGTTTCAAGATATAAATAGTTTATTGTTTTAATTTTTCACTCTTTCAAATGTCGGTCTCAACATCACACAAGGAAATTGAGAAGCATAGTAGAGCCCAGCCTCTGGTGACACATTTAATGCTGAAATATTCTACTGTTAGGAAACACTCTTAATAGCTCATACAAAACTCCAACACATTCCCACATTACTACAGCCCTCAAAAGTGAACTGTCTTCTAGTCTCTATTCAAGGACAAAGTCTAGAATTGGATTGTGTGGTCACATTGTAGGTGTGGATATACAGACGTTAAAAAAAAACTAATACCAGTCTATTTAATTAACTTTTAAAATGACGCAGGATATGTACAATGTAAAAGTTATACTTTATGGCAGGAATGACTATAAACTGAAATATGCATTATTCCCAACAGCCTCCTCAACAGCTTGAACTTTCTGACAGAGTGCTATTTTATACAGGATTTATAAATATATCTTCCCCAATAATACGTAGAACATTATTCTCTTTTTAAAGCTTTATCACTCCTTCAACACTTTCCTCTGCTCTGTGCAATATAGCTGGGAGGACAAGATGCTTTCAGCATGAGTCCATTCTACAGTCACCACTAAGACAGTTCCAGTTTAAGCACTACAGGTTCATATTGTAGGGGCAAGGAGGAATTTTGGGTGTGGAAGTGTATTCAGCTAAGAATTATCTAAACTCATCTGCAGAAGGTAGCTGGAATTAAAATGCTTGTTAAGCCTATGAATCAGAGTCCAATCCATTAACATTAAGGCCAAATGCCAGAACTACCAAAAGACACAACATTGAACCTTTCAAATCATTTCAAATTATAGTGGTTCAGACCCATTACTGTACAAACATTGCTTGAGAATGAGGTTAACCACTGAAAGAGTGCATTAGGATAATCAGTAAATATTTGGTGCCATCGCTAAATAGAACATGTTAATTTTAGAACTGTTATAAACCACATCTTCCAGACCGTTTATCCTGTAAAGATAAATCTTATTTTTTTTTTACCAAAAACAATTAAATACAAAGTTGAGAGTTTTGATACAGGTGCAAATTATAATGTGGACATTGTAAACTCCATATCACATTCTGTAGCTTCAAGGCTGGCACAAAATGAAATCGCTGTCCACTGACAGGCAACTAGCCAGCATTATTTTAAGTACAGACATAAAGAAGTAATGCCTCTAAAGTTGCATGTATGGGATCACATTCATCTTGAATAGTGCTGGGATCGTGTTAAAAATACCTTCGCTCAAGGTTTTGTGTTACGGTTCCTTTCCTTTATATATAACCTGCTAGTCAATGCAGTTACCATCGCACTAATATGCAGTCTCCACTTTCTATGGAGTAGTATGAAAGAGGCTTTAGGTCATTATCCATATCTATTTCCATGTCCATCTAAGAAAAAAAAAATTAAAAGATCAGTTGTAGAATTATTAATAACAGAGTATACCACATATACTTGTGTAAAGTCAATTCCTGAGACCAAATTTTCGTTCAAAAAGTAGAAAGTTGACTTATAAGTTTAATATTTTTGAGGGATTAAAATCCAGCTTCTGCCATTGTCTCACTACCCAACTCTTTATGGCAGTACATCAGTCGGATGTTCCCAGGTCAAAAACTGTTCTCACCAATCGACCCTCAAAAAGAGCTAGAAAATATTTTTATTATTCTGCACAGGCATAAGGAGCTGAATAGTCATCTTTGAATGAGCAGGTTCGCACAAGGGCCAGTTTGAATTCAATTGGCAAGTGGTGACGAGTAGAAGAATTGGATTTTTCAGGGACTGACTTTTACAAAAGATCAACAATTACTTGAGTATATACGGTATACTGATCTTCATTAAAAGAACTTTGTACCCTCACTGAGTTCTCATCAAGAATTCAGTTTATTTCTTCAATAATAATCTTCAACTTTCTATTGCTGTATCATTGCAAAAATCTATAATGTTTAAAAGTGAAATACAAAAAATATTTTATATCAGTATTGCAAAGTGTTGCTTCAGTCTTGACATTGCCTAAATGAGGCATACTAAAGCAATCCTGTTCCTGGTTCAGAATCTGGCTGCTACTGCTGCATGCTGATGCATTGGTAGAAACCGCTCAATCACCCCCACCTTTTCCTTAACGATCGGCTCTCCACCATCTTCATTTACAAACAATATGGTCTAGTGGGTAAGCCACTAGACAGGAACTGGGTGGCAGTTTGCAAAAATACTGCAGTGTGTGTGGGCATAATACTTCACAATACTGTACAGCAGCTCTTTCACAATGGAGGCCTTCACTCCAAGTAACCTATTAGTAACATGTGGCTGCATAGTCATAGTTTAGATTTTACAGGCTGGAAATGGACAATTACAAGTTCAATGTAAAACAAAATTGTGTGGTGTCCAGTTGTGATGCCAATTACACTACTTGAATGACTTTGCCCTGCCTCCTAAGTTGAATTTTACTCCTGAGTTACAAGTTTATTCTCTTCTTAAACTTCTACTTCCTTCCAAATATAAGCTGCAAGAACTGCAAAATGCTGAAAAGGCATAAAACTGCCCTATTTGTGACACTCAGTGAATAGAGACAGGAACTGTCCCTTTCCTAACCCAGTCTGTCTGAGAACCTGTTTGAAATCAACGACTTTGGCAAATTCCCAAGATCAATTCCTGCTCTTGAATGGCTCAGCAAATCAAAGAATGATATCATTCTATGATGGACCAATTTTTGTTGCTCATCTTATTCCATTATGAGTTAGAGTTTCATTGTAAATCTGATTATGATTAAAATAACAGTGAAATATGCTGACATTTTAACATGGAATATCTCACCTTTGAGCTGATGTACGTCAATTTTAGTTCTGTACCCGGAACTTTGAGCAATCGATGGAGCAGCCCCCTCACTTTCTGAATGGTCATGGAGTCTACATTAGCCAGTAGAACACAAAGTTCAGTTTATTAGCAAATAGTTCCAAAGCCTTAGACTCTAAGACTTAGAGTCAACAACAGCTTAGACTTAAACAGACATACAATGTTGTATAAGTTCTAAAGTGCTTCACAGAGCAACCACCTGATAAATTTTGGTTTAAGAAATATTAGGACAGAACTTGATCAAAGAAGTGGATTTTACGAATGCATTAAATTAAGACAGTACAATTGAGATGTTTAAAGAGAAGATTCCAATGCTTAGGACCTTAAATAGCTAGAGGCAAGAACACCACTGATGCAACAATTAAAATTGTGAATGGAGAAGAGGTCGAAATTGAAGCAATTCAAATATCATTGTCAATGATAGGACTGGAGGAAGTTAGAACATGAGAGAGGGTTGTAGGGGCTGGAGGAAGTTACTTAGAAGGGGAAAGTTGTAGGGGCTGGATGAAATTACAGACAGATGAAGAGTTATAGGCGCCAGAGGAGGTTACAGAGATAGAGGGTTTAAGGTCTGAAGGAAGCAAGAAAGAGGGAGGGAAGGTTGTATGGCCTACAGGAGGTTAGAGAGGGAGAGATGTAGGTTTTGGAGGAGGTTAGAGTGAGGAATGGTTGTAGGGGCTCAAGGGGGTTATGGAAGGAGGGTTGTAGCAGCTGGAGGAGATTAGACAGAGTGGGAAGGCTGTAGGAAGTTACAGATGAGAGTAAAAAAATGGCACATGGTAAGGAGGTGTAATTAGTTTGCTTTTATTTTGGCATTGTAGATTAGAAATTTATTTCTCACCTGGCAGTTTCTTCTCTAAAAGTTTTTGATCTGGGTTGTCTGGGCACCTAATGGTTAAAGCTGTTGAGGCAAATTAATAAACAATTTTCTTGAATCTGTCTTACCACTCACTTCATCTGTTTCCTCTTTGAGGGCTATGCTGAGCACAAGAAAGAAACAAGTTGCTACAATGCTTTCACTTCAGTCAGGTGGAACTCTTTCTTCCCAGAACAAAACAAAATCCAGTTTTTCTGGATTTTTTTTTTTAGGTGATTATATAGTCGTCTGACACTGATCACAATAGCCATGGTAACCAGTGACATCAGCAAATGTGACTGAAAACATTCGGCACTGCCTCAGAGTGAACAAGAAACTTTACTCTTGAGCATATGAGAAAAGCAACGGACAAATTTACAGAGTAGGTACAGCACAGAAACAGGTCATTTGACCCATTTGTTATTGTTCAGGTTTACAGGAGTCTCTTCTTACATCTATTCATCTAGCCTTATCAGTTATTCTAGCATTCCTTTCCCCATCATCTCTTTGACTATTTCCCCTGAAATGCATCCTTGTCATTCATCTCACCCACAAACTGTTAGTGAGTCCCATATTCTAACCACTCTCTGGGTTAAAAATTTGTCTATATTCCTTGTTGGGTTTATCAGTGACTATTGTATATATGGAGGTCTTATGGCACATTACGTAATGTTCCAATCGGAGCCAGAAACTTTAAGTTTGACTCTCTCCCCAGGATGGAATGGTATAGGAAGGTGTGTTCATATGCTGTCACACAAGCAGAGTACCAATCTGCAAATCCTTCTAATGGTAATTGTGGGAGAGATTCCTGGTCAGCCATTTGATGGAAAGAGTAGTGGAATCTCTAATGTCACTATCCATTGCTCCAGACAACATCATGCAAGTAAAAGTGCCTGTTGCCACAACAACTCAAACTCCCTGAATGAACTATAACACTGCATCACCACCATCCTATACATATGGCCATTAGTTTTAGATGTTGTTTCTGCTTCTCTACGCTTACCACATCAAACTGCTTTATAAATTTAAAAACCTCTATTCAGCCACTCTTCAACCTTTTCTTTCTTGGGAAAAATTCCCTAATCTGTTGAAGACTTTCCTCAGAGTTGCAACCTCTGAGTTATGGTATTACCTTTACAGGCAGTCTCTCAGTTGCAAACGGGTTCTGTTCTGGAGTCTGTTTGCACGTATAGGAAATGTGCGTTGCATCTTTAAAATTAAACCCCTGTATGGTACCAAATTCTTAAGTACAAGTGTTTGTTAAGTCAGATGTTTGTAAATCGGGGATCTCCTGGGGTTTTTTTTTTTTTTTGCACATTCTGCAGTATGTCTGTATCCGTTTTGTAATATGCAAAACCAGAACTCTGCATACTACTGAAAGTGTCCTTTAATTTTTGGTTCAATACAAGATTAACACAACTTCTCAAATTTTTGTTCTGTTCCTGACGAAATGAATATTGTATCCCTTTTAACTGCCTTATGAACCTGCATCACTACTTTAATAACTTGTGCATCTATATTCCAGATATCTCTATTATCTACCCCATTCAGACCTTTATTTTCTCAAGGAGTACACAGCCTTATTCATCAAAACAAAATGTATTAACTCATAATGCAACTAGCTTCCAAAGTCAGTAACACAAAAGGAACTGATTGTTTTATACCAAAGAAGCTTTCTGAAACAGCTGAAGTCTCATTGCTGAAGAATGTGTTCTCACCTAATAGCTGGTCCTTTAGGGCAAACAACTTCTGTTGCTCCATTTCAGAAACTTCAGGAGCTCCATACTCTGTCCAGGAAGAAGAAACAAGAAAACATTGTATGCTTGTGCTCACTTCAACATTAAACTGTAACAATTAGCCCAATTTTTGACAATAGTTTTACGACTATTTGCATTCTTCATGCTGAAGCAAAAGTTTGGTAATTTGGCTTGGTCTGTCTTATTCCCTGGATGTTCAGTGATGCAGAACCAGTGTGAAATGAAGCGAGTATTGATGCCACCTTGTCAGCTAGTCAGCTGGAGGCTAGGTGTGACAAGCAACAGGACTTGCACGACAAACCTTATAAATAGATAGTTTGCTGGGTAAATAAACAAACAGTCTCAATTAGAATTTCAAGATCAGTCCCAGTCACTGACAGCAATGTGGGCTCTTGGCTTGATTGATGAGAGAATTACTCAATCACCTATTTGTAATTGGCTCCAAAATGGAACAAAGTTTGTTTGGCACATTCAGATGCTTTAGCCACATGAACTCCTTCAGCCAAATAATACTCTTCCCGCAATTTTTATACATGACAACAGCTCATACTGATGCTGTTCAAATGATGCAAAATTCAGTAATCAGGTTTTAGATTGAAGCAACACAAATTTTAGAGCTATTCAAGAGAGATACATTGTTAGATCCTAAAATTCTGTCTAAATTCTCCCATTCTAACCCTTCTTCAAATTCTATAACTATTCTCAAATGATCAAAATTAAGCACACGACCATCTGTAGTCTCATTCACTCAGTTAGACTTAATCTAGATAACACAGTGTGGAGCTGGAGGAACACAGCAGGCCAGGCAGCACCAGAGGAGCTGGAAAGCTGACGTTTCGGGTCAGGACCCTTCTTCAGAAATGTCCCCGTTTTCTGAAGAACGGTCCCGACCCAAAACGCCCCCCATTTCTGAAGAAGGGTCCCGACCCAAAACATCAGCTTTCCTGCTCCTCTGATGCTGCCTGGCATGCTGTGTTCCTCCAGCTCCACACTGTGTTAGCTCAGACTCCAGCATCGGCAGTTCTTACTGTCTCCGAGTAGACTTAATCTAGAACTCTTTTTAATGCTATCCTGAAAGGACAACCTTCACTTCAAACAACACGGTATCATAATCCTTGCAAAAATGGGTAATAAATGGCAGTGCATGGTTGATTCAGAGTAATGGTTGGAGATTGGGGACTCAAACTATAGAGGGAGAGTGATTTTAATAAAATGTCAGTGTGCTTCACTGAAGAGCACTCTCACTTCTGAGAATCAATTTGTGGAGTCATGTCCCACTCTAGATCACCAAATGTGTGTTCTAGGCTGGAATTCCAATGCAGAATGAAGTGCGATGAGGCATTAAAACAAAGTCCCAAAGTAGGACAGGCAATTTCTGAAGTTGTTCCATTGCTTTAAGTCTTCACACCCTCAATCCTTCGGACAAAATGTGCAAAAAGTAAATGTGCTTCACTGTTAAATATTTAATTAGCAGCCCTTAGAACAAAGTCAATACTCTATATCCCCAAAATAACTTCAGTTACAACTCAGGTACCTTTAGAACAGAGACAGAGTGCATAAGTGAAAAAGCTTCACCTTAGCCAGCAGCTTTCTCCAGTAAAACTTTACTTCCACCTGGAGAGGAGTTAAAATACAGTCTGATAGCAAGGATGGGATAAATAAAATGGGGGCATTCTCATCAACACAGCACAACTGGGGTAAAGCACAGCTGACTGAATGTAAAACTTGTACAAATGGGCATTCCCAAAAAATGGACACTGATTGGAAGACCCAAATAACTCACATGGTAAAATATACCACAGTCATTTTGAAATCACAAACAGCAACAAATTACAAACTGAACTGCCATCAATGCACCAAGCTCGTTTACAACTTAAAGCAGTGGACATACAGGTCAGTAAAAGGCAACAAGGTGCATTTAGAAAGCTACAAAGGGCACTCAGTATTACACTACACATTGTTGTACTGAAGTCTCTCTTTTGGGGAGGTGATGGCCAAGTGGGATTGGCCTAGTAAACCAGGGTTCCAATCCGATCAGGGCAGAATACAGTTAAATAAATCTGGAATTAAAAGTCAAATGATGACAATGAAATCAATGAAGATTGTCTTAAGAACCCATTTGGTTTAATAACGTCCTTTGGAGAAGGAAATATAGACCTAAATAACACAGTGTGGAGCTGGAGGAACATAGCAGGCCAGGCAGCATCAGAGGAGCAGGTAAGTTCCAGGCATTATCAGAGGAGCAGGAAAGTTTCCTGCTCCTCTGATGCTTCCTGGCCTGCTGTGTTCTTCCAGCTCCACACTGTTATCTCTGACTCCAGCATTGCAGTTCTTACTATCTGAAATATAGACCTAGTCTGGTCTATATGTGGCTGCAGGCACACAGCGATGATTCCTGATTACCCTCTGAAATGGTTCATAATTGTATCAAACCGCGCAAAAGAAGTCTCAAAGGAGTGAAACTAGATCCGGCTTGGCCTTCTCTAAAGGTACCTAACATCAGAGATGTCAGTCTTCAGCCAATTTGATTCTTTCCAATAATATCAGGTGGGCACCTGGTGACTAGTGGAGTTCTGCAGAGATCAGTGTTGGAGCCACAACTATTCATGTTATACAATAATGATCTGGACAAAGGAACTGAGGGCATTGTTGCTAAGCTTGCAGATGATACAAAGATAGGTGGGGGGGACAGGTAATGTTGAGGAAGCAGGGAGGCTGCAAAAGGATTTGGACAAGGTAGGAGAGTTGACAAGAAGTAGGAGATGGACAACAATGTGGGAAATGTGGGATATACATTTTAGTAGGAAGAAGTGAGGCATAGGCTATTTTCTAAATGGGGAAAGACTACGGAAATCTGAATGACAAAGTGTCTTAAGGGTCCTAGTTCAGGATTTTCCTAAGGTTAAAATGCAGGCTTAGTTGGCAATTAAGAAAGCAAATGCAATGTTTGCATTAATTTCAAGAGCAGTAGATTACAACAGCAGGGATGTACTGTTGGTACTCTATAAAGCTCTGGTCAGACTGCATTTGGAATATTGTGCGCAGTTTTAGGCCCTGTATCTAAGGATGGATGTGCTGGCCTTGGAGGGGGTCCACAAGAGGTTCACAAGAATGATCTTCAGAATGAAGGGCTTGTCATGTGAGGAGCACTTAAGGAATCTGGGTCTGTACTCGATGGAGTTTAGAAGCTTGAGGGGTGCATCTGACTGAAACTTACAGAACACTTACAGGCCTGGATAGGGTGGACAAGAAGATGGTTCAACTATTAGGATCAACCAGGATCCGAGGACACAGCCTCAGACTGAAGGGAAAAACCCTTTAGAACTGAGATAAGTAATTTCTTCAGTCAGAGGGTGGCGAATTTGTGGAACTCATTTCCGCAGAGGGCTATGAAGGCAAAGTCATTAATTGTATTTAAGACAGAGATGAACAGGTTCTTGATTTGTAAGCGGATCAGGGGTTATGGGGAAAAGCCATATGAGCTATGACTGAATGGTGAAGGAGACTCAAAGGGCCAAATGGCCTAATTGTGCTCCTACATGTTATGGTCTTATCAAGAAATGATTGACAACATTGGACATTGCAAAGGCAATGGGCTCTGATAATGTTCAGGCAATAATGGTAAAGACTTGTGCTCCAGAACTTAACAGGCCCCTAACCAAGCTGTTCCATTACAGCTACAACAACCAGCAATTGGGAAAACTGCCCAGGTCTGTACATAATAAGCAGGACAAATCCAACCCAGCCAATTTATGCCCCATTGGTCTACTCTTGATCATCAGTAAAGTGAGGGAAGGTGTCATCCACATTGCTATCAAGCAGCACCTGCTCAGTGTTGCCCAGTCTGGGTTCCACCAGAGCCACTCAGCTCCTGACCTCATTACAGCCTTGGTTCAAATAAGGAGAGGACAGCTGAATTTCAGAGGTATGGTGAGAGTGACTGCCTTGACATCAAGTCTGCTTTTAACCAAACATGAGATCACAAAGCCCCAGCAAAACTGGAGTCAACAGGAATTGGGGGAAAATCTCTCTGTGGTTGGAGTCATACCTCAGGGTAGTGTCCTTTGCCCAAACACCATCAGCTACTTCATCAATGACCTTCCCTCCATCATAATGTCAGAAGTGGGGTTGTTCACTGGTTTGCAAAGTATTCAACACTATTCACGACTCCTTAGATACTGAAGCAGTCTATGTCCAAATGTACTTTGACTGGACAACATCCAGGATTGGACTGACAAGTGGCAAGTAACATTTGCACTGCAAAATGTTGGGCAACAACCAACTCCAACAAGGCAGAATCTAATATCCCTTGACAGTCAATGGCATCATCATTCCTGGCTCCCCTACTACTAAACTCCTGGGGGTTACATTGGTTAGAAGCTGAACTAGACTGACCATATAAACACTGTGAATACAAGAGCAGGTCAGAATCTGTGTATCCTGCAGTAAATAACTCATCTCCTGACTATCCAAAGACTATCCACCATCTATAAGGTACAAGTGCTGGAATACTCTCCACTTGTTTGGATGGGTAAAGCTCCAACAGAACTCCCAAGAAGCTTGACACTATCCAGGACAAAGCAGCATGCTTAAGGTTCTTGAGTAGATTTGTAGCTTGGGTTGTGGATACTGTGGTTCGTTGGCTCGCCGAGCTGGTTCGTTAGTTCGCAGACATTTCATTACCCTGCTGGGTAACATCATCAGCGCAGCCTCCGATGAAGCGCTGTTGTGTTTTCCCGCCTGGTATTTAAACTCGGGGGTCCATTGGAGTTGATTACCTAATTTCTGGATTTCCTTCACAGTGGTGTATATATAGGGTCTAATTCGACATGTTTATTGATGGCCTTCTTGGTGGAAAACCAGGCCTGCTTGATTGGGACCTTATTCACATACATTCACTCCCTCCACCAGTAGCAGCAGTACGCACCATCTACAAGATGCACTGCAGAATGTCACCAATACTCCTTAGACAGCACCTTCCAAACCCAAGAACACCACCATCTAGAAGGACAAGGGTAGCCGAGATGTGAAAATTCCCCTCCAAGTCATTCACCTTCTTGAATTGGAAGTGTATCGCTGATGCTCATCTGTCGCCAGGTCAAAATCCAGGAATTCCCTCCCTAGGAGTACTGTGGGTCTACCTACAGCACATGGACTGCAGCAGTTCAAGGTGGCTGCTCACCACCACCTTCTCAAGGACTACCAGGGATGGGCAATAAATACTGGCCCAGCCAGTGACACTGTTGTCCCATTAGTGAATAAGAAAAAGCTATTCGATAGCACTCACTCCTCTAACCCATTCCAAACTGTCACAATTCTGTGACAAATCAGACCCTTGTGCAAAAGAATACATTCATACATAAAATATTTGTTCATCCTTATGGTTATTAAATCACGTCTCAGTGGTAATCAAAATTAAACCTTTTCTAATTAAAACAGGAAGATCAAACATCCGCACATTTTCCTAATGCTGAACAAGCCATTCACTGTCTAAAGATAGAAAGACCTGATTTCCTCAAACACCAAATTACCCAGGAACAGGAGCGGCCATTCAGTGCCTCCAGTCTGTTCTGCCAGTCAGCATCCCAAGTCTTTTATGCTTTATCATTTTTAAAAAATCTCCTAACAAATAGAAATCAATTTCAGCTTTGAAATTTTCTATTCACTCGCACAACTCCTTTGTTTGCAACTTTAACAGCTTTTTGGAAAAGTCATGCACTAAATCAAAGGTGAAGCTGGTTGATTAAATGTAATCAGGAAACATCAGAAAGTGATAAGAACACATTATCTAACTATTTACTCACTCTCAATGAGCGACTGATATCTAGGATGCTCAGCACAGAATTCCTTATTAGGCCTGTTTTTCTCAGGATCCTGGTGCCCTCCAGCCTTCAGCCAGTCCTTCCCAAATCTCTTGCGATAGTCTAGCTCTGCACCCTTCCTTTCATCAGCCGAAATCTACGTCAACAGTTGAATGTAAACAAAGGAACAGAGAACAGGAACGAAAAGAAACAACACCAACACATGTAACAAATGGACCCACATGCCTTGAACAGTTAATTGGAGGCTTTACACATTCGAGATTGCAAGAGGATAAAAGGTTTTCTCAACTACTTTCAGTCATAAAGCTTCATTCAATTTTTTTTCAAAATATAAGTGGTCTCATTTTGCAACCAGATGGTCACTGGCCTGGGAAAACTATGTCAACACGGACAGCAGAAAACACAGGGCAGAGATCTAATGGCTAAAACCATGTAAATGGGAAATTGCGTTCTCCAAGTGTGTTGAGGCAGGAGAGAGTGTGTACCAACTTATAAGCAGAACATGGGATGGGGAGCAAGTTTTTTTTTGTAGTGAATCATGTTTCGCCAATTCCTCTCTTCCACATCTGGGATTAATCTTATGGAGTCTCTTCCTCTCAGATACATGCTGGGAAAGTCATAATGAAAGAAGCTTTAATGGTCTGAACTGCAAAGATTTTTTTTTTAACAAATATTGTTCTTATATTCATATCCATAGAACTCCAAAATAAAGTATATTGGCTTAATTCTTTGACTGGCAGTTAACAGCATGTGGCATCTATGGGACTGCCTGGTTGCCAAGAACCCTCATATTACAGCAAGAGACTTTATTTCAACTCAACTGACATAACCTAGTCTTCAAGTACCTATTAATAAACAATCTGATTATTGTACATAATTGTACATACTGGGGTTGTAGTAGCCTGAAGATATTTTAAAACACAGACCTTGCAAGGTGCAAGTACATCCTTAAACCTCAATCTCACAATCTTACTAACGTAGAATCATTTGACGCAGGAGGAGGTCATCCAGTTCATGTTGCCAATGACAATCTTTTGGGATAACCTGTTCGTTTCTCATTATCTGGTTAATTGTTCCCTTTATATATTTATCCAATTCTAAATGTTATTGAATCTGCTTTCATCATCCTTCCAGACAATAAACTCCAGGTCACAACACCTCACTGTGTAGGAATAAATGCTTCCTCAGGTCGCCTTAGGTTGTCTGTCATTCATCTTAATTCCATGTCCCTGGGTGACTGATCCTCCTAACACTGGAAACAGTTTCTCTTTATTTGCTCTATCAAAGCCATTCAGAATTTTAAACACCTCCTTTATAGGCTGTAGGATTGTGTGTGAGGGACAAACATGTCTTAGGCTGCATAATGCAAAGTCATGACTCGGAGTTAACGATGCATCTAATGACATCAGGTATGCTTTAAACAAATAACTAATACACTGCATTAAGAACACTAATTAATTAAATTTCTGTAAGAATAACAAACACTAACACTTTCAAATATGCAAATTCCCTTCCAGGTACAGAACACAAAAAACTGTCAACACCAAATATTCAAAATTAAATCAGACTACGTTGATACTTAAACATAGCACACATGTTCCAAATGATCATAACAAAATTCAATTTAATCTAGATAAACACACAAGGGAGAAAGGAACAGAAGGATACACTGAGACGTGGGATGAAAAAGGCTGGGAGTAGATTCTCGCGGAACATCAACATCTGCATAAACACTGACAGTTGCGTGAAGAGGTCAGTTTCTATGCTGTACAGTTATATAATTTTATATAAAGACACTTACTTCTGTTCTGTTTAATACATTCAGACATCCTAGCTTTGCAATGATAAGCTGCCGCACAGTCTTTGCATTCTTCTCATGCTCCACCATCGCATAGTCACTAAATTTCAGCTGTTCTAAACTCCGTAGCTTGTTTAACTCATTCACAGTTGAAAACTTGAGAATACAAAAGGAAGACAGTGCTCCCTGTAAAGTTTAAGTAATTACACTTTCCTCCAGCAAAACAGTGCACATTAACTCAGAACAGTATAGCCTTCTGGGAAAAATAAGAACAGATTTCTCTGAGCCTGACTGCCAGCATTTGCAAAGAAATTGGTTATTAGTAAATTTCTCAATTTAATTCTCAGTTACTCAAAGCATACAGTGTTTATTAAGATATTGTCTGTTGCAACTATAATACAAGTTAAATTTAAAATTCAAATTTAATATAAACTGTTGCAAAACAGTACTTTCCAATGATGGTAGAAAATGAATTACTTGTATTAAATCAGTGAGAAAACACCACTACCTGCAAAATTCGCCTCTCAAACACTCACTATCCTGACCTGGAAATATATCTCTGTTTCTTCAGTGTTGCTGAGTTAAAATCCTGGAATTCCCTCCCTAAGGGCATTGTGGGTTTACCTACACTAAATAGACTGCAGCAGTTCAAGTTGGCAGCTCACCACCACATTCTCAAGGGTAACTAGAGACAGCCAGTGACACCCATGTCTCACAAGAGAGAAAAAAGTACAAGTATAATGTCTGTATTCGGGGTAGAGTGGAGATCATGGGCAGAAATTTACACTGCCATGATAGGATAGGGAAGGAGGTTGAAGCAAATCGAATAGACTTTGGACAAAGTCAGGATCTGTGTGGCATGGTGTAAATGTGAGTTTATGTATTGTTACATGAGAGAAAAGCAGCAAGGATCGGTTGGATAATGTCACAAGCCTTCCCCATCCTTTCACAACTGCTACTCTCACTATTCCCCTTAGAAAATACAAATCTTGATTCCTGTGTCCCAGACTTGTCAGAAAGACTGGGACCTGAGAACAAAAAGTACAAATTAAGATATTCAAGACGAGAACAAAACAGTTGTATAATATTATGTAGTAATTAACAATTTTGGCCTTTATTTTGTGAGAAACTTTTGTCTTTTGATTAACTGGCAAGAAAGAAACGTAGCGGATAAAAGGTTTTCTGAGAAAATTCAAAAGAAACCTCTCTACTGAGGGAGTGATAAGAATGCTGATCTCACTACCACATGGGGAAGTTGATGTGGATAGAATTAAGGAGAGCTAGATAAGTAAATTGGATAGAAAGGAATTGAAGGGTGTGCTGAAAGGTGAAATGCAATAGGACGGGAGAAGGTTCAGTCGCAGCACAAATTCCAATGTGCTCCTATTGGTTGCAATGGTTCATTATAGTGCTGTTAATTCTACAAAATTTTATGTACTGAGTTGACTAGTTTTATTTGTTGTGAGTTGTCAGAGAGAAAAGTTTAGGCCAACAAAACAATCTCATACAATGGTGGTAAGAGGAAATGAGCTATCTTAAGAACAGAAACTGACCCCATCATGCTCTTCACCTCATTATCAATGACCCCTGACACTGGTCAAGTGCTAACGATATATAGAAGAAATGTGATACCCCATGCAGCATAATGTATGATTCTGTGGCTAAACCATACTTGTGTGTTCCCTTTTAGGTCTACATGCTGTCTATTGTATAATATTCTTGAAATTAATGATGGAGTCAATTCCCAGTGAGGTTACAGTTAGAGTGGCAGCTATTAATTATCATGTTGAAGTTGTTAATCAGGCAGTATTAGAAGAGAATGTACCAAATTTAAATAAGGTAAATAACTGATATAATAGATAATATACAGCGTTAAGTGTAGCACAGTGTTAAGAACATAGCTCCAGGTAACATATGGTTACATGAGGTCACTTTGATGATCAATTGTTAAACATGCTACTCTCTGTAAACCATATTTAAAACATCGGATGTGGACTAAGGTCTCTTGAACATTGTCTTAATGCTCACTGTGTTGTAATGATCAAAGCTAGATGGATATTTTCTGGGCTTTTCAACCGTTCTCTCTTCATTTAACAGACTCTTTAAAATCTGACTGTTCTAAAATCTCACTCTTTGGCTTAATAACAAATATTTTTTATTCTCATGTGAACATTTTAGTATGTTAGGGTACAATTTGTCATAATAGATGTGCCGTAAACCTGTTATGAGCTCAACTTACTATCTCTAACTGACAGAATTCAAAATTCTTAGAAGTCTATCAATGAAATCATTAACATTCAGTCATGTTATAGCAGCATTGCCAAAATTCAGCTTTGCATTTTGACATGATTGTAGTTGGCAAATGGCCTTACAGCACTATTCACAGTGCTCTTTGCTGTATGCATACAGCTTGTATATCTTCAGGCAGCTAGAAGTACCCGTTGATGAAACTGAAAAACAGATAGCAATCCCATCAGGAATGTAGCTGCAGTCTACTGCAGAACCTTTTGGAAAACTTGATTGGCAGGTCTAGGATTAGCTCAGAATGTCCTGCTGAGTAATACAATTGCAGCTTGGTGCATTTTGTACAGGCAAGGCCAGACTGAGCCAAGTGGAGAGGGGGAGAGGTCAACTTTAGTAACTTAGTGGTACACCTCTAGACTCTGATTAACAAACCATACCTTTCCCACCTACTACCCCATCAAATTTGTACATTCCCTGACCAACCATTTCTGAGAGGCGGTAATAGTGCATACAGGGCAATGACAGGTGTCAAGTACTTTCAGAAAGGTATCATTAAGCCAACAAACAAGATCTCAAAGCAGTAAATCACTTCAACTAACTGAAGCAAGCTGCCAAGAATTCTGATTGATGTGTCTGCAGGGCTACAGAAGCAAGCTGATAGCTCAATTATCAACTCCACAGATGAAGCACAATAAACTTCCAAGCTTCTATTATAAACGTTCTAGCTATTCAACATTAATAAGTTAGTTACAAGTAGTACTGCTGTAGGGCTGTCTGTAGTGAACAAAGATACTGTGCTGGAATAGCTGACTGGGTGACTACCAGGAAAAGAATAAAAGGACAAGCTTGCATTTATATGGCATTGTTCAAAACCTTAAGATATCCCTAAATTCATTAGATACAATGAAGTTCTGTACTTTTAAAGTTTAGTATTGCAAGTAGGAAGTATGGCAGCCAATTTGTACTGAACATGCTCCCACAAAAGAGCACTGCGGCAAGACCAGGCCCTTTCCTTTCCTTCAGTGATGCTGACTGAGGGAAGAGGAGAGCCAGGAGAAATCACCTATGCATCTTCAAAATAGCAGCCAAAGAGTCTTTTACATCCAATGCAGAGGACAGACTTGGCCTTCCATTAAAATCTCATCTGAAAGACATCGGACAATGCAGCACTCAACTTCTGACTGACGTGTAACCAGTTTTACCCCACTGAATCACAGCCGAATATGGAGACTTTGTATGTTTAGTTGGATTGCCCTAAGGAAGTGAAGTAAAACAAACACACACACTCAAACAGATTTAGATTTAAAAAAGTGGATACATGGGCTAATCTTAGAAGGCTATACTACATAGGGAATGGTCACTTGCAGGGAAAGAAATGGAAAAGGTGAGAAAAAATTTAACAAACATCACTAGTCATCATGCAGTTATGTTGATTACTAACTATTTTTGAAAACATCTTTCAAGTGAACTGGAAAAACATTGTAAAGAAAACTGAACAGAAACTAAAGCAAAATAGCAGCGTTAGTGTGAATACAAGCATATTTACTTCCATTCCTCATATTGTTTTATGGAACTAAATTCCTAGAAATAGATTTACCTCTGAGATTCGGTTCTTGTCAATTGCTAGGAATTTTAGTTTTGGAAACATTGCACTTTTACCATCTGGAAGAGAATAAACAAAACAAAATTGTGAACATTCAGGAAAGAATGTATTTCACACTAGTCAACTAAGAAAACTCAAACTAAATTATGGCAAGCTCATGCCCCACTGCACTCTCCGTGTACCTACAAGGCACCAAGTTGCAGTTTATAAGGATTAATCTTGTTTTGGATTCCATGCCAACTCAATGAAGGATGAATATCTGGACTGTTCCCCTCCTGGCATTCCTAAGTTTGAGCATTTAGCAAGCTGCGAAAGTGGTTCTCAATAGATTTGAAACACCTGACGCTGCTGCATCAAATGTCAAACCATTCCTCAACTCATCCCATGAGTAGAATGTAGGAGAGAGAGTAGTGCAATGAAATAATTGGGCATGGGCATTCTATTACTGATAATCAGGCAGTGATAGATAGCAACGAAGCCTAAACTTTATGAACTGTGCTTCTTTACAAATGAATACACCACTACCATTGTAAAGGTCAATAAAACTCTTCTGCCACAGAGAATTAACTAACCTGTACTGTGGTTTAAAGACAGCTACGGTTGTGAAAGGGGCATTTAAATTGTAGCCTGTCAGATTGTTCATTAGTTGGCAAGTTCTTCCAATACTTCACAAGAGGGAATATTAAAACAACTACAGGGTCAAGTTTAAAACCATCAGATTTAGGAGCTTCAATTTAAGAACAACATATCCACAATAACACTTGAACCAATTCTCTGCAGAAATTTACAAACCCCTGCAATTTGGGCATGCTTCTCTGCAACAGGAATTGTGTAATCTTCAGTATACCCGCAAGTAGGTTACAGCAAGCTGGAGTCCCATTGAACTTTCAGTGTAATTGCATGGCAGGTTATAGCAGATCAACAAGAGATGGCTCTCCAAATGTCAACGCAGAGGGCAAAGTAACTAGATAGGGTGCACAGCACAGTGGAAGGTCATGCGGAGTAGAAAATGATCCAATGCATGAATTAACCTGAAGCTTCCCAATGACTTGATTAGGAAATAAACTACAAAGTGTGATAAGCACCCATACAAGGTAAGATTTGACAATATTCTTGCTTTTAACCATTATCTGGTACCACATAGGTGAATGCTGAACAGTTTCAAGACTGGATAAGGCTAAAGTGTTGAGATTCTCAGAGGCAAATCTGATACTGCAAGGAGGACGAGGAGGCTGCTAACATGCAATGTCATGGCCAGAGAAGAAAGGAAAATGGGATAAAAACATATATAGGTTGTTTTCATTAAGATTCACATACCTTGTTGAACATCATCAAAATGCAGTGAGGTTAACCCAGTGTTTGACAATATAAGCTGCTCCAACCTGAAACGGAAATGACAAAGAAAACTGAGACTGATAAATTAAGTTGTAGCATAAATGCAGATATCATTTAAACAAGATTGTGATTATTAAAATAAGAAGGACATGAATAAGAATTGGACTGTACGGGTTCCACGGTGCAAGCAGAACTTTAACTATTACAGATAAGCACCACCAGTCCCCACATATTGAGGTGAAGGGATTGCTATACGCCTACCCCTAAAAGATAGTCACCTGGATAGGTCACTGTTGGTCAGTGTGAACTGCCTCAGGTTTTAAGGGGTACTTTGCTTTTTGCCTGCAGGAGACAGCACTCAGCACAACTCCAAGCAACTGCAAGAGGTTTGAATATTTTTACGTGCAGCCAGATATTAGAACAGAGAACCCTGAACCACAGGAGTGTATGCAGAATAGGGATCTACTTGGGGAATAAAAGGAAGAAAATGCAATAATGAATTGGAAAAAAAGGAAAGAAAATAATTTACATTTCTATAGTACCACTTTAGACTGCAACATGTTATAAAGTACTTTTAAAGTGTAGTCAGTGCTGTAGTGTAAAAGTCACACAACAGCCAATTTGCCCAGGCAATATCTGTGAGCATTTGAAAGTGCCATTGGAAACTATCATGGAAATATAATCCAAATGATTTTTCTATTCATTCATGGCATGAGGGCATCAATGGTGAGGCTAGCATTTAATGCCATCCATAATTACCTTTCAGAAGGTGAGGTGGCTTTTTGAGCACTGTAGTTCTTGTAAGTAATTAGAAAAGCTAATAGAAAACTATTATTCATTGTGAGGGGAACTGAAGACAAAAGTGGGGGATTTATGTTTCAGTTACACAGGGCACATGAGACACCACATCTGGAGTACTTTGGTGCACACTATTGGTCACCTTATTTTAAGGAGGATGTAAATGCATTGGAAGCAATTCAGAGAAGGGTTACTATAGTAATCTGTGGAGAATGCATGCATTGCCTTAAGAAAGATTGGACAGTCTCTTGACTGGCTCGAAGCTACAATTTAGTCAATGGTAACCCCCCAGGATGTCAGTAGTGGAATTAAGTACAAAGAACAAAACTGCACAGGAACAGGTCCTTTAGCCCTCCAACCTGTGCTGACACATTTTGCCCTTCCATACTAAAACTGTCTTCACGTACAGGATTCGTATCAGTCTACTCCCTTCCTATTCATGTATTCATCCAGGTGTTTCTTGATTGCTGCTACTGTGTCCATTTCCACCACCTCCTCTGGCAATGCCTTCCAGGCACTCACCATGCTTTGTGTGAAAAGTGTGCTTAGCACATCTCTTTTAGACTACCCTCCACGCCCTCCGCCCACACCTGTATCCCCTAGTAATTGACCCCTTTGCCCTGGGAAAAAGCCTCATACTTTCCACGCTATCCATGCCATTCACAATCTTTTCAATGTCTATCAGGTTGCCCCTCAATGTCCTGCATTCCAGTGAAAACAAACCCAGTCTATCCAACCTTTCTTCATAGCCAAAATCCCCCAGACCAGGCAACATCCTGATAAACCCTTTTTGTACCCTCTCCAAAGCATCCCCATCCTTCGAGTAGTGTGGTGACCAGAACTGTACACAATATTCCATGTGTGTCCTAACTAAAGTTCTATAAAGCTGCAGCATAACTTGCCTATCCTTATACTCAAAGCCCTTCCAATGAAGGCATGCATGCCATAGGCCTTTTTTACTACCTTATCTATCTGCACTGCCACCTTCAGTGATCTGTGGACTTGCACACCCAGATCCCTCTGCATATCAATACTCCTAAGGGTTCTGTCATTCACTGTATAATTTACACCTGTACTTGACCTTCCAAAATGCATCACCTCACGCTTGTCCGGATTATTCTGCCATTATTCTACCCATGATCTATATTCTTCTGCTCACTATCCACAACTCTACCAATCTTTGTGTTGCCCGAGGATTCAGCAATGCTAATGCCATTAAATGTTAAGGGGCAATAGTTAGATTCTCTCTTGAAGGAGATGGTCATTGCCTGGCAGTTAGTTACACAAATGTTACTTGCCACTTTTCCAGGTTTTTCTGCATATGGACACATATCGCTTTAGCACTTGAGATGAGATATAATAGAGTGACACACAGCGCTTTGGATTAATAGTATCAAATACAGGTTGTTTACATTAAAAAAACCTCTTTTATGCATTGCTAGCGAAAAAAAAATGAATAGAAGGTCCAATGCAAGTAATATTAAAGTTGGGTTATATGTTGCTATTTGATTGTGAGTTTCAACACAAAGAAAGGATATCAACTAACCTTGGCAAGTAAGCAATGTGCACCAACTGATTCTCATCAGCCAGTGGATTGGAGCTGAGATCGAGTAACGTCAAAGATCGAAGAACACCAACAGGCCTAGAAACAAGGCAAAGTGTTGATGTCTCAATACATGGGAAGAGAATAAATATGCAAACAGTAAAAGAAAATATAAATATCAGTTGCAGACAAAACTAGCAGCAATACGCAAAAGGTTTTCTACTGTGGATTCAATTCTTAGATTCAATAGTTGAAATGTCAAGATTTAGACACAGGGTGATAAATACACCAAAGAAAATTATGAACCAAAATCTAATGTTAACAGAGAAAAAAAAACTCAAAGTCCAGTCTAAAGTGATTGGTTTGGTCAGAGTATCATATTCCTATTTTGTCCAATTACCTGCACTTTTACAGTCAACTCAAAGGAGGTAAGGTGGGAAAAAACCAAAAGCAGTTGAGGTGAGTTAGTTAGGTAATGGACTGCTTGTGCCTGGTTATAGCTATCACTGTAAGGCATTTCAAGATGTGAATCTTGGTGCATGTTGAAAGTGGACCAATAATTAGCTTTACCTTTCTAACTCAGAAATGGCATTAGATGAGAAGTGGGCCCTTTCGAGCACAGGCCACATTGGGGCACATTCCAGGACCTGCAAAGAGAACAGAGTGAGACCTATGCCACAACACGTCATTTTGTTACAGAAAAGAGAATGCCTGTGTTACCTGGGCCCATGTCAGTCCATTGTGTTGAATGGCTAATGCCTTCAGGTTGGTAAACGCATCAGACAGGGAGACTGGACTGGAAATAATTGCCAATTTGTTTTGACTGGTGAAACAAGACAAACAGAAAATTACATACGAGAAGGTAGAAAAACAATTGCCACTAGAAGCTCTTTCAGGAATCCTAACAACTCAAGATAAGAAAAGCTGGATCACTGAGCTAGCAAGAACAGTCATCAAGCTAAGAACATGTTTGTTCAGTTG